ACACACACACACACACACACAAACACACACACACACACACACACACAAACACACACAACACTAAAACATACTTACACTTACACCTTTATAATTTATATAATAATAATGTTATATTTGTATGTAATAATTTAATAATATGTAGATTACCATTAATTTAAGAACTTAATGTAAATTTTCAACATGTTTGTTTTTCGATTAGGCTATAGATTAACGCTAGATAAAGTAACGCTATAATTAAAATGTAATATGACAAACTTTGTTATTGGCTATATACGTATATTATTATGATTGTAAACGAAAATTAAAAAGCTGTAAAGTTTGCAAATAAACAAATAAATAAATAAATAAATAACCATTTCTTCCAGGCAACCTTAGGATAGAAATTTAAGAGTAGGTAAGGGGGGGGTGCAACCAAAGAATATCTTGTAATGAAAGTGTTTTAAATAAATACACTATTCATCAATAAAGTAAATGTATAAATAATAATAAATACATACATTATTAGAACCTATATACATAAATAACAATATATAATAAATAAAGTATAAATATGGTTAAAATATTTGTACGGCCCACATTTATTTCTTTCGTTTGGGTGTAATTTATGGTGTCCTTAGTACGGGAGTATAACTGTGTGCATTATTACGATTATTATTATTGGATTTCACCCACTTTCCGTTATTGTCTTGATGTAAAAAATATGATTCCACAAACTATTAAGGTCGGTTTTTTTTATGAAAAAGTTATAGATTATGTATGTATTAAATAATAAAAGAAAACAAAACGCTAATATATTAACGCGAATTTTTATAGTTTTTGCAACTTACCTTTATAACCTAGACACAATATTAGCTATCGAGTTCTAAGGTGTTCACGACTGTTACATATTGAAATTGAACTGTTTTTCGATCGCGTATACTTGTTTTTTCAAACCAACAAACGTTTCAGGCCTTTTACAGGTCATATGGTCACTGGGTGAACATATATGCGATTCAGATCCGAAAAAATTATTTCAATTCCAATACAACATTAGCCATTAATAAATTTGTATTAGAAGACAACAGGAATTGTGTGAATAGCCAAAAATTCGCGTAAAGGGTGTAAAACGATCCATTTAACTCGAGGTACCTACGTGCCGTACTAATTCGAGTGTGAAATGGGTTTTACAACAGCGTTACATTATTCAGTATGGCTGCCGGCTGATATGATGACATATCAGCCGTCCACTGCTGAACATAAGCCGACCCCAAAGATTTCTAGTTCAGCCGATCCATCGGTTACCCGCCGCCCTTACCAGGTCATGTGGTACAGACACATCTGTTATGGACAGGTGTGTCGTGTACCACCAGGTGCACGATTTGTTCGTCACGTCACTTGATATCATAAAAAAAACAAGAATTACACGCCCGACTTTCTGTATCGATGCATCCGCTTATAAATCGCAAGTGTCGTGATGCAAACGCGCGTTTGTATCGTTTCGAAAAAAAGCCGTGTGAACCGGTCTAAGTCTTCAAAGTTAATTAGAACGTATTATTAACTTTTGGACTTCAGATGCATGAGGGGCGTTTAAAGTTTAACGAAGTAATCTACGTGGCTGTTTGTGTGTGATATCGTAGCATATTAATTCGCTTGACTTTCACAAATACGCGAACGACATGTTATTTTTTTGTATAGATCACATTTTGGCCTTTACTAAAAGACGTAACAATTACGACTTTGACTTACTGGTGTGGTTTTTCATCACGATAATTTATTTTACTGTAAAAATAAGTCACTCGTGAAACCAAATACTGCCGTAACTCAAAATGGTGGAGTTGGACAAAAAAAAAACGATAAAATACGATAAAAGTTCAAAAGTTACTGAATCGAACCAATGAATTTATATTCTAGTTTTTTTTTCCCCATTATTCGCAATAAGATGCATTCTGTAATTTTTTTTAACTTTTAAATCGGTTTTTTCTCAATACCATCATTTTTGGGTTACGACAGTATTTGGTTTCATGTACGAAATGTTGGTTAGTTACTTACAGTGGCCATAATTCGAAAATGACTCAGTGATGTGGTAGTTTAATGGTGTGACCTACCGCCTCTCACAAGCACAGGGTTCGAATTTGGGTTTGCACCTCTGAATTTTTAGAACTTTATGCTCAAAATTTGATTTAAATAAAGGAAATAACGGAAATAAAGGAAAACATCATGAAGAACCCTGCACACATCTACAATGACTCCATCTTTATAAGAAACTGGTCTATTAGCATAAAAAAATTAGTCAATTTTATTCATTTTATATGAAAAAATATTTTATGAAATTTGACCAACTTTGCTGTCCCGATTTCTTTCGTCCAATACAATGAAATGATGCCTTCATGAAACTGAGTCGATAAGCACTAAAAAATTTTATAACTTTTATTTATTTTTATGGACAACTCGCGCTTGACCAAAATATTTACTATGCCAAAATTGTTTTCACAAAAAAAGACTTAATGGTTCCTAAGATGGTTACGGACATCCACATACTCTCCCATTACAAAAACCGTCTATATATGCTATTAATATTCTCAGCAGCGAGGTTCCTCGATGGAAATCGAACTCAGGACTTTTCAAGAAATCGTTGTTCCAGCTATTACGGCTTCACGTCATATTGCAATCTCATTATCTCAGCTCAGCTGAATAGTTTGGTACGAATTTTGATTATTTAACCCTGTGGCATTGGACACTGACAAGGGATTCTTGGCCAGTTTGACGAGGGACTTCGAAGTTTATTCCGAATAGTAAAGAGCTAAGGGAACACTCCACAATCTTAAATGCCCCACTCGATTGGGAAAGTACTTTATCTCCTTATGAGATTCCTATGTAGGGTACACATCAGTATAAATTTTCTTGCAGCAAGTTTATACGAAAACCTACTCTACTACAAGGGCAAGAAATATATTTTTAACAATATTGAAACATTTTGTAAAATGTAGAATCTTTATACGCAGAAGTTGATGACTATCGCAGACGCCTTAATAAGATATTATATCAATAACTTTTGTAACTATGGTGCATAATTGAGATTACTGCTGTACTGAGGTACAGGTTACAAAGTACCAAAAAAACCGACCTCAAAAGTTATACATCCCCTAGTTTGCCACCCTTAGAGATGGAATATTTACGTCAAATTCATGTAAGTACTTCCGATGTACCCTCTTTTAGACAAAAAGAGAATCATCAAAATCGGTTCACAAATGTTATGTGCCGGAGTTATCGCGTAACATACATACAAAAAAAAACATACAGACGAATTGAGAACCTCCTCCTTTTTTAAAGTCGGTTAAAAATATGATGTGCAATCAAGTGCAATTCGTGTAAATTAGTTACTTAGTATAATAGTGTGTATGTTATTAATTAAGGTGTAAATTATATGGGTCATGTGACCTGAATAAAATAAATAAATAATGTTGAATATAACTTTTTGATACTTTTATCATCACACTTAGCTTTATCTATGGGACCTGTAAAGTTCCAGATTTATTGATTTGTTTGAGAGAACAAATACATAATAACAAATACATATAAATATGTAGATATTTCTTCTTACAAATATCTATCATATTGCGACATTTTCATTATAGTGCTGGGCGTTTACGAGATCATAGGAATAATATTGTCTGATTTTGAATCATTTATGCTTATTATGTATATTTTTATGTATACGTTATTTTTCGTTATAATTCATTGACACCGACATTTATTATTTTAGCTATATTAGAAAGAATTTGTACAACAGGTGTGGCAGGTATTAATAGCTTACGCCTACGCAAAATTTGCTAGAGCACAAATATGTTTACCATTTTTACACGACTCTAAAACGCACATTTGTTATAATTAATGTAAATATTCCTACACAGGCGTATCTTTCCACCAAATGCATATCTTTTATATATCATACTTTTTAAAACCGATTCTTGTTCGGCTGTGGCGTGAATTTTAATTGATACGTGTCTTTTCGTTCATTTTTACTCTTTGTACAACAATATAATAATAACGCGCACACTTATAGCCCCGCACTAGGGAAACCCTGTCGTAAAAATATGAAAATTTATTTCAATACCAATAGAGCTTCTTGTGAAAAGTTCGACCAGGAACGTACCTACTGCTACCTTACCAATTTCTGCCGCGTAGCAGTAATGTGAGCATCTATGCGTTTCGGTTTTGAAGGGTAAATAAGGGTACTGGTGAAGTTACTGTCTCATGGGACTTTTAAACTTATGTCTCAGGGTGACGGGCGCAATGGCAGTGCACATTAGATCTTTGAAATCTAATGCTCGGAGTGGCACTGAGCACAAGCATGTGTTCACCCCGTCACCTGGGATAATAAAAAAAAATTACTTACCATAAGCTCTCTTCTCAATTTGTCCAGCTCAGCGGCTGATGGGGGTTGGGGCTGCACCCTGCCTCTTCTTAGCTCCTCCAACTGCCTCGTTAGCTCTTCCACCTTGGCCACTGCCACCGATAATTCCTTCTCCTTCTCATTGAATAGCGCCCGTATCGATTCTAGGTCACTTGCTGTGGACAAGGGAAAATAACATCATTATAATGGACATGTGTAATATGTATTCGTCGGATATCAAATGACAGGCAATGAATCTCCTGGGACCACAAGCTCTTTGGAAGCCGTGCGCATGCGGAATAGAATTTTGGCATTGTACATGGCATATAAACTTAATATTATCCTAAAATTGTTCTATTAACTGAAAAATAGTCGCTCCAAGAATATTTTTTTTAAATAGGTTCAACTGCAAATGCAATATTTCGAAGAAAATAATTATTCCAAATTTTATTTTATAGTGACGGGACGAACATGTCGTGTGCCTGGTGGTAAGCGACATTCTGGTTCATAGCTGTTGCGGTGCCACGCAGAACTATACTGCCCTCCTTGTCATAAGTAACGAGTTGTCGAGATGTTGGCACTAAAAGTTTTATTGTCACCTAAAAAAATTTTAATTACTTTTATTTTGCATAACAATAAAACGGAAACTAAATAAGATATTTAAAAACCGCCTATCGGGGCTTGTCGATCTAGTGTCGCTGATTCCGGATACGTTTATAACTCAATTTCGCTAAAAATATCGATTACGTCAGTGATAAGGAGGGCAGTATATGTAATGCAATGCAATTATTATACATCAACACATACGTCCCAATGATGGTTGTAACGCTTCCTCGATGTGTAGGTTTCATCACAAAGTTTTCTTTGGGTTTTCAGGCCTTAGTCCTCCACGCTGGCCTCATGCGGGTTGGGGACTTCCCACGTTTTCCAAGAGTTGCGAACCTTCATCACGATGTTTTTCTTCATCGAAAAGCTCAAGGTAAATTTAAAATTAAAATTCGCACATAAATTCCGAAAAACTCAGAGGTGCTAGCCCGAAATCGAAACCACGGCCTCTGTTTGAGAGGCAGTAGGCAGTAGGTAGGCAGCAAACCATTAGGCTGCCACGGCTATTAGGGTAATATATCTATACCTATAAGTAATGAAATCGAAGGCATTCTAAAACGCAAAAGGAAGTTTGCTATAAGCAAAACGTAAAAACAACTCCCTAAATAGTACCCTATTGCAATAATTTACTTTTCATCTCGCTCGTGCGTCACGTGATAAAATGTTTCGTGCCTGGAATTTGTGCCTCTTGTTTATACTTTTGTAAGACACATAAATGGCACACAGGGTAGTTATTTTCTGATAATGTCAGACGTTCTTTCCTTGTTGCAATATTAAACCTAGTCCATTATCAGTCTCGGTTACGGATAAATAAAATATTATTATACGAGGTGAAGATTATAATATAATTTACTTTGTTTTGTTTTTAAGCGACTTCAAAAAAAGGAAGATTTTTCAATTCGACTGTATGTCTTTATTCTTTTTTTGCGTGTGTATGTTATGCGATAACTTTGTGAACCTATTTTGATGATTCCTTTTTTGTTGGAAAGTTGTCGTCCTATTTAAATTTGAAGAATTTATTCATAAGGGTGATAAACTAGGGGATGAATGACTTTTGAGGTCGGTTTTTTAGTACTTTGTACTGAAATTATGGAAGGTATTGTTAGTTGTAAGTACCGTATTAGTTATTACGTTTAATATTCAAAAAAATATTTCTACTAGGTAAGTAATTTATTTTACTTATAAATATATTTTTTATGACGCCAAGTAATAGGACGAGTAAGTCCTGCGCCTGGTGAAAAGCGACACTCTTGTCCATAATAGTTGCAGTGCGGCTCTTCTCAGTGCATAGCTTTATTTCGTAATGACCTGAGTGGCACTGTCACTGTGTACTTCCGTGGACGAGCTTTTTCGCAAGGGGCTCTACTGTTACCAAAACCCGTAACTAAATACAGTAAAATTTATAAATATAATAAAATTATAAGCAAAATAAAAGTAATGTAATGTAATTAATTAATGTGGTAGCGCGGGCGTCTACGTAAAAGTAATTGAAATTATGATTAGATGAATGCCACCAGTTAGTTTAAAAGGTGTTCAGATAGATGGCGGCACAAATTCAGTAAATTTAACAACATGTTCTTCAAATGTTACTCCGTTATTATAATGGTATTAGGTTAAATAATTGAAATAGTTAATGAGATTATAATTAATAAATCAGGTGCTGCTAATTTCTGTTTATAAAGCTATATTGTGACCATTTAAGAGATTCCCGATGTAAGGCGCCACGTATGGCAGAAATTTGCTATTAAGGTTTAGTAGGATTTTTTTTATGTAGTCGATTGTACTGAAGTACAGTCGTGTGATCAAAATAAAGTTGATTATTAGTACCAAATATTTCCTTTGACAGTTTCCTGCTACACTCTGTATATGTATTTTATTTCTTTACTCTATGTATTTTATTTATATTTTAATGTAGAGTGTGTGTGTGCATTGTAATATTTAACTACACAGCTAAAATCTGTAATTTTCAGTTATTAATTAATGTCTATTTTAAATAGACAGTTAAATTTATTAACTGACTTTTTTAATGTAAATATAATAATAAATGAAGTTCAATAATATTTAAAAAATTGGAATGTAACAAAATCGGATAGTCAGCAAAAAAAAAGATTGTTAAACAATGAGGCACGAAGTTAGTTAGATAATAAAGTAAAGTGGATTGGGGAAGAAAATGAGCCACATTCCGATATTTTCAATTCAAAGCAAATTTGCTCTAGAATGTTAAACTTTTCAAATCTAGATTATTACTTTGGTAAAGTAATCTTATTAAAAAAGGCTATTATCATCGATGAAAGATTTTACCGGGTATATTTTGCCGAGAACAATTGAGAATTATAACTTAGGCAATTGAAGGCTAGGCCTAATTGCTTTTACACAAAAGTGTGTTGTTGGTAATATATAAAACATGAATTTGTTATACATGCCTATTTTTAGATTCATCATCTCCCTAAATAATATTTTTAACGGATTTCAAAAAGAAGGAGCTACTCAGTTTGACTTTATTATTTTTGTGTATAAGTTACGCTAAGAAATTCGACGTGTCTGCTACAGAAAAGATGAGAATGGTCTTGGTTTGTCAGAACTACCCACGAAAACATGTCGTGTCTGTTGTAGACGAGAAAATGATGAGTATGTACACGACACGAATGCTTTCGGACAGATGTGTGTACGGTAAAATGTGTCAGTGCATTACGAGTCTTCCAGGTAGTAGTAGAAACATGCTGTTGTATATATTGACTACTAAGCAATACCCGTCCACACGCATAAACGTTAGTTTACTGACAATGCACCTCACCCCGCCAAATATAATAGCGGCAGAGCGCGTCGTGTCGGGGGTAGACAAGATTTTTTCTAATCCGGCGCCGGGGTTACACAGTTCGTGTGTACAAACGACACGAATCCTTGCATAGACCCGGCGACTTTTCTTAGCGTGAACAAGCGCCTTTACTTCGACATTTATGAACCAATTTCGATGATTCTTTTTTGTTGAAAAGAGGGTACCTCAATATTGGTCCCATTTAAATTTGAAGAAAATATTCCACATATTGGCAAATTAGGTGATGAAAACTTGGTTTATTGTGTTTCACCCATAACTGATTTCAATACAACTTGGCAAATAGATGTAATTCCATAAATTTTTGAAGCCGGTTTTTGTATAAAAAAAATATTATTCTCATAGGAAATGAAACTATTTTTCCGGATTTAAATCGCGTATATTTGTTTTTTCAAACAAACCGACATTTCGGGCCCTTTACAGGTCCCATGGTCACGGTTGACGGCAGTCAATCCGGAAAAATAGTTTCATTTCCTATGTGTAACAATCGCGAAAACCTAAGAACTCAATATTATTCTCACTTATATATTTTGGAATGAAACTATTTTTGAAAATTATTTTTCGTACTTAAAATCACGTATTTAATGAGATGGTAAGAAACGGTATTATGGATAATCATCAACCAGTTATGTCTAATATTAATGCATTAATATATTCCTTTTTTCTATGCATAACAGTTGCAATGCCTTAGAGCTTTTAACCACAAAAACCTTACGGGCATTGCCACTGTGCCCGTCACCCTGAGACGTAAATTCACAAGTCTCATGTGCCTGTAATTTCACAGGCACCCTTGTCCTCCGAAACCGGAACGCAGTTCTGAAGAAATGCTCACATTACTGCTTGGCGGCAGAAATAGGTAAGGCAATACTTCCCTGGACGAACTCTTTCACAGGGAGCTCCACTGCTACTAAATTTATAATAAAATAGCCAGACATAATAGTTAGACATGTTTTTACAAACATTTACAAATTTTTGCATACATTATTCTTTATTTTGACACACTAACTTATCCCCTTTTAGGGGTTGTTTTGAAAAACCATGAAACACGTGCTTATTCATTCTGTATTTAAATTCATATCCAAACCAATTAAAAAGTTCCCATATAAATTTTAATATTCCATTTCACCGCTATTTAGGGATAGCTTTGAAAAAAATGTGAAATCACTTTTTTACTGTTTACATTATAGAGTATTTATACTAAGTTTCATCTTTGTAAGGTTAAGAATAATATTTTTCACAAACATTTTTACGCTTTTTACCCACTTTGTTGAATTTCGTAAAATCCATTCTTAGTACGCCTACACTAAATAAACGTTTTCATTTCAGAGACAAGAAGTCGTGCGCCTGATGGTAAGCTACACGCCTGTCCATAACAGTTGCAGTGCCACTCAGAGGTTTAAATCGCAAAGATCTGTTACCCTGAGATATAAGTTGACAAGTCCCATGTGCCAGTAATTTCACCAGCACCCTTACCCTTCAAAACCGGAACGCAGTGATGCTGACATTACTGCTTGGCGGCAGAAATAGGTAAGGTGGCAGTACTTTCCCTCGACGATATATAGATAGTATAGTTTGCTATGAAAACCGTCTGCTTAAAGATCAACATGAAATATATACAATCGCATAAAATTCACGTGGTTTTAACCATGAAATAAATAAGACCACCGTACGTTTAAAATTTTTGTAATTATAACGCATAACTCAGCAAAAAAGCTACTTCGTATAATCTTACAGCTG